GATCATGACCTGTGCCAGAATCAGGAATTGGACACCCAACCTACTGAGTCACCCAGGTGTTTGGGCTTTTATTTTAATCAGCACTTAAGCTGTCTCTTCAATACCTGTTGAGCTGTTACGTTCCCCTTTTTAAATTTTAGAGTAGTAATTATTTCTAAAAGTTAGTCAAAATAATCATTTTTCTTAGCCCAGTGGCAGTTCTGTTTTTTAAATTGCTTAATAGCATGGTGTTGTTTTTTGTTTTGGGTTTTTTGAAATAGAAGTTGATGACGTCAGCTCCAAAATCAATACAAAGAGAAGCAAAAGGAAAGGTGCAAATGATTTGGACTTTGCTGGATCATTTCAAGGTAAGGAATGCATTTACTCTCTTTTAAATCTAAACAGTGGTTATGGGAAAGTTACCACTCATTATTATTTTGGGAAACTTCTTAATTGGTTAGTACAATTTAGTTTTTGTTTTTATAATGGATAATAACGGTTTTCTCTATTTTTAATATGTGAAAGTTGTTTGCCACATATGCCTTCAATTATTTTCTCTTCATAACTTTTTTCTTATTTAAATCTCTCGATCATCTATAAAGTATATCATAACAGATTATGCCTTTTAATGTTAACACTTGTAAAGTGGTAATAAAAGAAAAAGGTACTGTATCAGGTGACAATTTTAACTTTTTGATAAATGTATAGAAAGCAGGGGGCTCCTGGGTGGCTCAGTGGGTTAAGCGTCTGACTTTGGCTCAGGTCATGATCTCACAGTTTGTGTGTTCAAGCCCCACATCAGGCTCTGTGCTGACAGCTCAGAGCCTGGAGCCCATTTCACATTCTGTGTCTCCTCTCTCTGCCCCTCCCCTGCTTGTGCGCTCCCTCTCTCTCTCTCTCTCTCAAAACTAAATAAACATTAAAAAATTTTTTGTGATGTAGAAAGCATTATATTTTATTCCTGAAATCTGTGATAAATTCATAGGCTTACTTTTTTTCTATGCTTTGCTTCTAATGTCTCGTTTCTGCTGACTAATAAATACTGATAACGAATAAAAATAGATTTGCAAAGTTAAAAATAATTAAAATGCTTGACAACATTTCTTTTAAAATTAAATGTTAAAATATTTTGGACATTAAATATTTTTGCTAATAAGTATCAAAAATAATAACTATATTTTGATAGTAGTCTCTCAGACATTTATACCTGCAAAACTTTTATAAGCCCTTTCAAGTACTGACAACCATAGTCCTCTTAATTAGATTGACTTACCTGATATGTAAATGATAACATTATCTTTCAGATTTTGTCATCCGTTGAGTGGTGTAAGGTCGCAATTTAATACTAGCCTGTGCTCAAATATAAGACGGCTTTCCCCAAAATCATCTCCAAAAAGAAACATTGGGGCTCCTGGCTGTCTCAGTCAGCAGAGCATGCAACTTGGAGTTCTAAGTTTAAGCCCCATGTTGGATGTAGAGATTACTTAAAATTATGAAAACGGCACCTGGGTGGCTCAGTCGGCTAAGCATGCAACTGTTTTGGCTTAGGTCATCATCTCACAGCATTCCTGAGTTCAAGCTCCATGTCAGGCTCTGCACTGAGTACAGAGCATGCTTGGGATCTCTGTCTCGCTCTCCACCCCTCCCCCCTGTGCTCTCTCAAATAAGTAAACTTAAAAATGTTGCTTTATCGTAAGTCCTACTGAGACTTTCATTAAAAGATGCTCTCTCAGTGACCTTACTATTATTTCTGAAGACCAGAGCCTGAAAGGTGTTAGATCTCAGCTGACAATAGTTTTGAATTAAAGGATACCTGACATAATTGATTAAAACAAAAGAAGGCAAAGGAATTTCAAACATTGATAAATTGCAGGGGGAGAGGTGGGTGGTATTCACCCTATATTTGCAAATGTTGGATATCCTTAAGGATAAACAAACCTTAAGGCAACTTTAAGAGGGCAGTAACAGGGCTCACCAGTTGAAGTTATAGATGTATACATATAATGTGAGTGAACACCAAAAACGCGTTTCCAAGTGCTATACACAAATGGGAATTTTAGCTAAAGAGAAAATACTCAATAACAGTATCCCATTTAAGGATACACAAAATTTGAGATGAAATGCTGTAGAAACTATTTTATCAAAAGTGGCTTTGGTATCAATGCACAGACTTTACATGATTGTTAGTAGCACCATTATTATTAACCGCCAAAAAGTGGGAACAGTTTAAATGTCTGTTGACTAAAGAATAGATAATGGAATATTATTCAGCAATAAAATGGTATTAAGTACTGATCTGTTACATGTTATAACATGGATGAGCTTCAGAAATACTACGCTAAGTGAAAGTAGCCAAATACAGAATACCACATCATGATCCCACTTACATGAAATAACCAGAAAAGGCAAAAGCCTTCTTGGGAAAAGGGCACATGACTGCAGATGGGCACCAGGATCTGGAGTTGATGGAATTGTCCTAAAATTGCATTGTGATGACGTTGAACAACTCTGTAAATTTACTAAAACATACTGAATTACACACTTAAAAACAGCTGAGTTTTATTATGAATTTTATTCCCTAATAAAGCTATTTTAAAAATTGGCCCACTATGGGGTGTCTGACTCTTGATTTTGCCTCAGGTCATGATCTCATGGTACATGGGATCAAGCCCCATGTCAGGTTCTGCGCTGACAATGTGGAGCCTAATTGGGATTCTCTCTCTCTCCCCTCTCTCTCTGCTCCTCCCCCACTCACACATGCATATTCTCTCTCAAAAAATAAAAGTAAATAAAAATCAAAAAAAGGTTTTTTTTAATGTTTGTTTATTTTTGAGAGGGAGAGAGAGACAGAATGTGAATGGGGGAGGGGCAGAGAGAGGGAGACAGGATCTGAGCTGTCAGCACAGACCCTGACCTGGGGCTTGAACTCACGCACTGAGATCATGACCTGAGCCAAAGTTGGATGCTTAGCCAACTGAGTCACCCAGGTGCCCCATAGTTAATAAAAATTTTTTAAAAATGGCTCTACTAGATGCAAAGAATTTGAGTAATACTGTTTCAGAAAAAGTGAAAATGGGTAAAAACAGTATTTCTAGTTAAAATCACATTATCTAAAATATATTAACTAGAAATACTGTTTTTATCCATTTTCACTTTTTCTGAAACAATATTACTCAAATTCTTTGCATCTAGTAGAGCCATTTTTTAAAAATTTTTATTAGTGTATGAATTAAAATTTAATGAATATTAGAAATAGATGTTCTAGTTTTTTATTTTGAAAAGTTTATGTTCAGAACGTGGGTGGCTCAGTCAGTTAAGCGTGCCAATTCTTGATTTCAGCCTAGGTAATGATCTCACATTCATGAGTTGAAGTCCTGTGTCATGCTCTGTGCTGGTAACGCAGAGCCTGCTTGGGATTCTCTGTGCCCCTACCCCTCTCTTGCGCCCAAAGTCTCTCAAAATAAATAAATAAACAAACTTAAAAAAAGTTTATATTCACAATTATAAGTTGAGTTATTTTTTCTAAGGAGAACCATTTTGAGAAGTGTAAACAAAAATTTCATTTACAACATAATATACCTTCCATCACTTTCTTCACTGTTAGTCCAAAGAATAAAACCTCTGACTTAATGAGAATTTACAGTTTGCCTTAAAAATTCCAAAATTCATCCATGTCACCCTTAGAATTAATCTTGCCTGATACTATGAAATTAGGTAAACCTTGATCAGTGGCCAAATTGGAAAGGCAGTCAAGAAGACACTATTTGTCATCTAAACAATTTTATTAGGATACAATTTTAAAAGTACTATATACCAACTCTTAAATAAAATATATTTATTTTAAAATGCCAGCTACTTAATGGTGCTATGAGGAAACTGTAATTCTGTATTTTAACCCAAATACAACTTTTTTACAACAAAACTATGTTGAAAGATTGTTGAATCACTGTGTCATATACTTGAAATTAATGTAACGTGTGCCCACTATACTTCAATTTAAAAATGTTGTATTTTTCCAAAATTAATGGATTTACAATTTAATAACCTACACTTACACTTTTTTTAGGACCAAGGAAAAAAAAGAAAGGAAATTTCAATGACTCCAGCCTATTTGTATCAGCTGAAGAGGTAAGGTTAAAATACTGCTTCATGATGTTAGCTACTCTGGGGGTAACTAGCTGGCTCAGTCGGTAGAGTACAGGACTCTTGATCTAAGGGTTGTGAGTTCAAGCCCCATGTTGGGTGGAGAGATTAAAAAATAAAATTTTTTTTAAAAAAGCTAGCTATTCTACACTGCTTTGAGTTTTCTAATAAATGTATCTCTTTTTAAGTTTGGCCACCTACTGGATGAAAATATGGGATCCAAGTTTGATAACATTGGCATGAATGCCATGGCTAACAAAGACAATGCAAGTAAGTAACTTGAATTTTTTTTTTTTTTTTTTTTTTTTTTTTTTTTTTTTTTTTTTTTTTTTTTTTTTTTTTAAATTTTTTTTTTTCAACGTTTATTTATTTTTGGGACAGACAGAGACAGAGCATGAACAGGGGAGGGGCAGAGACAGAGGGAGACACAGAATCGGAAACAGGCTCCAGGCTCTGAGCCATCAGCCCAGAGCCCGACGCGGGGCTCGAACTCACGGACCGCGAGATCGTGACCTGGCTGAAGTCGGACGCTTAACCGACTGCGCCACCCAGGCGCCCCAGTAACTTGAATTTTTATGGAGGTTTTTAAATAGCCTTAACTTACAACTTCCGAAGATGTATTTTTAGACAACCTTTTTTAGTAAGGATAAATAAAATGGTTCCTTACAACCCTGAAGGAATGGCTTTTTTCATCAGTGTCTGGGGAGCATGTAGGATTAAAAAGCATTTAGACTACAGCAATAAAGACTGTAGTTACGTTTGGGGCCCCTGGGTGATGCAGTCAGTTAGGCATCCAGCTCTTCATTTCGGCTCAGGTCATGATCCCATGATTTGTGGATCCTGCGGAGCCTGCTTGGGATTCTGTCTCTCCTTCTCTCTGCCCCTCCCCCACTTGTGTACTCTGTCTCCCTCTCTCTCTCAAAATAAATATAAAAAACATTTTGTAATAAAGACTGTAGTTACTTTAAACTGTTTAATTCTTTTAGAGAGGCAGTTTTTATATATTGTGAGTACGCTTAGTAGCTTTATAAGTACTTTATAGACATAATTTCTGATATTGTTACTGGCTTCTGTTCTTTTGCCAATAAAAGCTTTCAGGGGAAATAAAATCTTTAGGGTATTTGTTCCTTTGTTGACCTAGTATTTTATTTGTTAAACAGTAATCTTTAACAATAAATGCAGAAGGAAAGCAACAAACAAAAGCAGGGGATTTGCATAGTGGATGGGAAATGAGTAAGCCATAGCAGACCAGAAGTTCCTGTTTTGTTCTGTGGGGCCAGGAGTCTACAACATGGTGTGTTCATCTTTCTTCTTCCCCACAAAGGTCTCAAACAGCTTAGATGGGAGGCTGAACGTGATGACTGGCTACACAACAGAGATGTAAAAAGTATCATCAAGAAAAAGAAAAATTTCAAAAAGAAGAGGCCAAAAACCACTCAGAAAATTAAAAAGCAAAGAAATTGATTGTTTTCTAAATAAACTATAAGTTAAAATTGTACTTACTCTTAATTTTTGCTATTCAGCCATTTTTCTTGATCTTGCTCTCTGACTCCATACATTCCAGACTGTTCAATGGATTTGTAATAAACTATAAATAAAGACAGCTGTCATTTATAAAATCATGTAAAAGTGTCAAAATTAAACTATATTGAAAGAAATCAAACCTCTTTTCCTTATTTCTTAATAGTAAAGTAAAAAAGACAGTAGGATACGTATTTCACTTACAAGCCCTCTAGCATCCGTACTGTTATAATAAGCACTATTTGTTAAGCATTACTTTATAGCAGATACTGCGCTAAGTGATTACACAATGTCATCTTGTTTAATCCTTACAACAGTTCATAAAGATGGCCATTATCATCACTGCTGTATGGAGAAACAGCTCCCAAGAAATTAGCAAACCAGAGGTCACTCAAGTTTTAGGTAGTGATTTGATTCCATCACCACCTCAGATAGGTTTCATTCCAAAGTCTACATTTTTAACCACTGGCTAACTACTCTCCTCTCCAAATGAGAATTTTCTCCACCCTGTGTTCTCAGAGGAGCTAAAATAGGGATAGGCAGTAATTCTTGGAAATTGACACCACAGAATTAAAGTCTCAACCATTAATTGGTCATTTAAAAAATTACTTAAAGGGTACCTGAAAAAGGTTTTGTACACTCTTAAAACATACCTTCCAAGATGAACGGGAATTTTTTGCTCATTGTTTGCCTGAAATCTGATGGAGAAAAAGTGTTAAAATTAAATATTAAAGCATAGAGTCCATAATTAGTGCTAGCTTTAGGGTTTATGAGAAGAATCTGTGTTAAGGTCCTTCTGGCAATCAGGAACTATATCCTTTTGGACAGGGTGTAAGTTGTACTTGCCTTACATGTTGCCTCCCATAGTTCCTTTTGGAGTTTTTCAAATTTGGCTTGTATACATGATGTAATTTATTTAGAAAAGGGACAAAAAGCAACTTTTCATTGTTAATGTGTTTGAGACACATTAGCTATGACGTTTGAGATAAAAAACTGAGTAGACGTATTTCTAATTCCATACTAAGGCAAAATGGAATCCATAAAAACAATTCATTGTTCGATGGATTCTATTTTACCCTCTTAATATAATTAGAAACTTTAATTTGCTCTTAAATTCCATGTCGATGTTTTCTTTTACACCCTTACACTTGAAAAGTGTAGAGACTTTGTGAGATCGAATAGATAGCATCCAGAACACAGTGTTGCACTAAAATACTTTAAGAAGACACATGATAAGTTTCAAAGATGGCCACCACCCAGGACTACTATTATCTGCTTTAGGAAAAGAAAGCACCACTTAATAATTCAAAAAGTTGAGGACTCTACAATTTCCCCCCACAAAATGTCAAGCACTTTCAGTGATAGCCGGTGGCATGGGAAAGGTTTTTAGTGTCCAATATTGACACACAGGAAGAACTCAGATCTTTCAGAGTGGTTATTTGATGATTCAGCTATGCCACCACTACTCTACCAGATGATGAGGTATAATTGGCAGGCTGAATTTCTTCCACCCATGTTCCCAAACTAAGCCAGACCAAAAATACTTGCTCTATGCCCCCGACTAGTAAAATCCATAGAAGTGTGAAACATTCTCTTTCATCTACAAACAACATTTAGGAAGAAGAGTCATTAGGTCCATAATTAACACCAAGTGTTCCTCTTATACCCATAAAAATGCCCAATACCTGGAAGAAGCAATTTCTCTAAAACTGTTTAGCACCTAAATGCATTAACAGACTGTACACCCCTCTAGAAAACATTAACTTCTGAATTAGAATTACCTTGACTTGTGTTCATCTTATTAAACAAAAAATATGCTCCAAAAACGCCCACAAGTTCAACTACTAAAACTCCTTTAAAGATCTTCTTTGCCAGTGGTTCCATAGTGCGGGCCATCCTAAGTTTAACAATAACAACATGTAAACCTGAGTGAACATATACAAACTTAATACCACTTCCATAAAAATAATTCATTCCCAGTTTGAATGATGTATACTGTATACTTATTTGTATTAGATGTCCCACATTCCTAGTTTTCAATCTCCACCCCTAAGGGGCACAATGAACCAAAGACACCATTGGATAAAGCACAGGCAGGAGATAAAACTGAAAAAAGCACTGTAAAAAGAACCAACAATTTATGGAACTAAGATTTTTAATTACCTAAGAATATAGAATGTTGAGAGAGAGGGTAAATCCTTTCTTTTTAACCAAAAAAAATATTAAGATGATCTAAATGGGCAGCATATGTGAAAGCCCTTTGTAAGTACCCTACAAAAGTAAGGCTATTCTCTGAGTGGTTGTACATGTTTCATAGCTGGAGGTTTTCATTTTATTTATACAGCATATAGTGAACTAGGTGCCACAGCCCAAGCATTTCAAAGTTGAGCAACAAATCAACTTGTTCTGGGGAGGTGCTATTCTAACAGTACTTTCAAACTAAGTACATCACCCACAAGGCTTCTTAAAAATGCACATTCCTGGGCCTCACCCTGCAGTTCCCGAGTTCCCAGCTTTCTGATTCAGCAAGTTGAGGGTTAGCATCCCAGTAAGGTGCCCATTTGCACGCAACTCCAATGACTTGTATACAAGAGGCCCCTGTACCACATTAGGAAAACTGATCACCACCATCCAGTAAGTCGCAACCTAGACTTCAGATCTTGATTCGCTTCAATTAAAATAAAAGCCAACCAAAAAGGGTTTGAGTCTTCATTCTCTTTCTCTAATGTAAAAGCTAAACAAGGGAAAGGGGCTATATAAGCCAAGAAAATAACATATGACTCTTACTGAGTATATGAAACATAAACTCAAGTTATTACTCTGCCTCCCTAGAACCCCAACAACAGGAGAAACCAGTCGTTTTTAATCTTAGGATTTTGATATCGTCAATGTATGCTGTGTCATAGTATTTGTTCTCTAACATCTGTGCAGAGATGGTAAGCTCTGTGATATTCTACAGTCCCAGTTCTCTGCTCACGGTCACACGTTTGCACCATTTCCTTTTGACTCCTTTTTATAATGCCTCAGACGGGGTAATTAAATACCCTACTTTGTGGGATTATCCTATTAATCTCTTTACCAGGTGCCCCTTCCCTCCAAAATCCCTTTCCCTCATTTTGATAATATGATCACCCTGGGGACTAAAAGATTATAACTTTATTGTTCGTATCTTTAAAAACCGAAGCAGAGGAAGTTAATAAAGAACTTGCATGTAACCAACAGGCAGCTGAGTGGGTGGGAATGGAGAACTGTTTTGTTTACAATGCTGTACCTGACACCAAGTAAGTCATGATTGGTACAGGGACCTCTCGTGGGATAAGTTTTAATGTTCAACGGGTGAAAAAAAAATATTCTTTTAACTCAAAAATAAAGCCTGACCGCAGCCATAACCACAGTGTAAGGAATCCAAGTAAAATCTGGTTTTGTTCTGTTGGGAGGTGAGGTTAAGGGTTCAAAACATAAAGTACAAGTAACACTGTATAATTCAGTGTTTACCTTTTTGAAAAATATATACACACATTTTACATTACAAGTCCCTCGACTTCAGTAAAGGTGTTTATAACGACTGATGAAGCCTAGTTGACAAAGACCACCAAAGGCATACCTGTCCACGACGAAGTTAGGTTACTAACTAGCAGAGGAGGAACAAGATTAGACAAGATTTTGGAGAAGGACAGAACTTAGGCGAAGTTTAAAAGAAAGCAGTCCCCGAATGGGCTCGAAGGAAAGCAGGGCTGTGCGTCATGGGGGTTCACAAAGCACCGGGCTGAGAAGCTGATTCAGGGTGCACAAGCTTAAACGTGCAAATGTTGCGTCTGAAAACCCTCATCCGTCCACTACAGCTGGAAACCGACACGGCTCAGCATCTGCAGGCAACACGATTTATCACACAGCAAGGTCTCTCACACGCACGCTAGATGTTGGAGAGCAAGGTTTCTCAGCTACGTCCCTGGGTTTGATTAGCTAAAGCACTTTGTCCAGATTCCCACGGTCAAGAACCAAGGAACCAGCGAGGCCTCCGGGAGCTGCCTCAGGCTGGCTACCCACGATCCTCAGGCCCTCGCGCGGCCCCCAGGCCCCCGGGTCTCCGGTGTATCTCGGCGGCCCCCCGCGCTCTCCCGCCTGCCCGGGCTCCCCGGACGCTCCCGCCCGGCCCGCAGCCGACTCCCGCGGGCATCATCGCAGGCTGCACTGCGCGGTCACGGGGCCAAGGTCGCCGAGCGACCCGGAAACACTCGGTCCTCTCCCGCGACTCTCCCGCTGAATGGATGGATATAGCGACACCCAACTTTCCTCCTTATGAACCCAGAACTTTAGCACGCACCCACCCCCACCTCCTACCCCCGCCAAAGAAAACCTGCCCGGCTCAGCGTTCCGAGGATCAAGAGTCAGGACTCTCAACTAGAGTCAGCCCTCGCTCTTACCTGAGGCGCTTACTGCGGACTGCGCATGCGCGAGTGTTGCCAAAGCCCCGCCCCTCCCGGCGTTGGGCCCGCCCCGCCCCGTGATTACTTTTTATTGCGCTCCTTTAAAAAAAAAAATTTTTTTTTAATTTTTTTTAACCTTTATTTATTTTTGAGACAGAGACAGAGCATGAATGGGGAGGCTGAGAGGAGACACAGAATCGGCCCAGGAGGCTCTAGGCTCTGAGCTGTCAGCACAGAGCCCTACCCGGGGCTCGAACTATGGACTCTGGAGATCACGACTGAACCAGTGGTAACCAGCCAACTAGACTGAGGCCCCCAAAGTTTTTTTTTTTTTACATTTATTTATTTTTAAGAAACAGAGTGAGAAAGCGAGTCAGTGGGGGGGGCAGAAGGAGACACAGAATCCGAAGCAGGCTCCAGGCTCTGAGCAAGTGGTCAGCACAGAGCCTGATAAGGGCCTCAGACTTGAACCTATTTTCCAAGTTGGACGCTTAACCGACTGAGCCACCCAGGGGCCCCTATTGTGGTCCTTTTATTTTTCTTTTAAGTTTTATTTATTTCAATAATTTCTACACTCCATGTGGAACTGGAACTCACGACCCCTAGATCAAGGAACGCATGTTCTTCCGACTGAGCCAGCCAAGTGCCCCGTTATTGTGCTTTCCTTACAGAAAGTAGATCCTGACTGCCGCCTATGTACGTTAATTTATTTAATCCTCAGAAAAACCCTATGTCATACTGGGTGGTATGAGTATCTCATTTTACAGAGAAGGCGGGAGTTTTACCCTGCCCACAAGCACAGAGTTAACAAGAGTTAAAATTGGATTTGAACTCGGGACACTGACTGGAAAACCTGTGCTCAATTATTTTTCTACACTCTGCAACCCAAAGTGTGATACAATCAGCAACCTGGGAGCTTCTTAGAAATGCAGACCTACGGGGGCATCTGGCTGGCACAGTCCGTTAGAGCAAGCAACTCAGAGACATGAGCTTGAGCCCCATGCTGGTCATGGAGACTACTTAAAAAACAAAACAAAGTTGTAGGAAATGTAGACCTACTGAATCAGAACCTGCATTTTAGCCAGATCCCTAGACAATTCGCTTGTAAATTGAATTTTGAGATGCACTGCCTATACTACCCAAAAGGAAGACTGAAGGAGAAGCAGAAGGGGAGAAGGAGGAAGAGGAGAAAAGGAATATAAAGGTCTATTATGGTACTATGTACAAGACGAAGCCTGGGCTAGCCAAAATAGTTACACAGATCTACCTTCATTGAGGTTATAGTCTAGTAGGGGTAAAATACATTCACAAATAGCCAATGAAAAGTACACAGCGATTAGGGTCTTGCTTCTGACTGAGCCAGCCAGGAGCCCCTAGGGTCTTGGTACTAATCTGAAGGACCCCCGAGGTTTTAGAGAAGGGATGAGTTGTCTTTGGCAAGCTAGTTGGAGCTGTCTTTGTCAAAGCCAGGTAAAGGAAGTGCCTCTGAGGAGCTCTTTGTGATGTCCCCAGTTTTCCTGTACAACCCCACAGTGCCGCATACATGGTTCATTTACACAACTAAACCATCATAAGTTGTGAGAAATGTGGATCTGCAAACTACTAATTTAAAGCATGCCATTGGTCAAGATCACTCAGATCCCTACAGATCCAGATCCCCAACTTCCACAACACGGCTTTATCAGTATCCGCTTAACGTCTGGGCTTTGTATAGTCTCTATCTCTTCTGTCTGCTCTATGGTAACGATCTCTGGCTTGAGCCCCCATTCTATTAATATTATATATCTGACTTTCTCTCCAGTTTTTCTCCCAAGATCTTTTTTTTTTTTTT